CAAGGGTGTCAGCAAGCAGCCAAAAATCAGACTTGCTATAGAATCCTAAATATTCTGCAAATTCACATAGCCTTCGGGCTTACCTTGTGGATTAAGCAGAGAGATGACACAATAAAATAAATTTTATCCGCTCTCTCCTGGTACTCTCAGAGTCTACCTTTGTTCTTAGAGAAAAATCTACTTCTCCTTTTATGTGTGTAACAGATACCTCCTCTTAAATATCTCTCCTGGGTGCCAGTGTCTCTACTAGGTAAGAGACATTTACATGCATAAGGGAAATCTCCATCTGTAAGGGTGTCTTCCACTCCACACCAGGAAGAGGACGACTAAATCTCCAGAAACTCATATGAATGGAGAAAGCATGGATTTAAATCTGCATAACAATCATGCTCTTGTTTACTGTGTTTTTCTGGGTAACCCCCCCATTACCGGCTTCCCACTCCCAACATCTGTCTTTAGCTGGAGAAGTTATTTAATATGATGGCTTGGGCCATTTGGGGGAGTTACTCAGTTTTCCTGGGTCTCTCCCATGTATACAGGAAGCATACATGTTCTGAAGCTTTCTTTGCTTTTGTCCTGTTAATCTTTTGTTACAGGGAGGCCTCAGCCAAGAACCTAGAAGGGAGGAGTAAAAGTTATTTTTCCTCCTCCACACCTATGAAACAGATTTTAGCAGCAAATACACCCCAGAGGAGGCTCCTGGCTTCCAAATTATTTACTTTTTCAGCCAGAAGGGCCAGAATGACCATTACCCACTGTAAGTCATTGTTATTTGCTCAAGTTTAAGTGATTTCCCCAGGCTTCCTGGTGTCTGCCACCTGGTGATTCTATTACCCTAGCCTTTTTCTTTAATAGGAATTCTCACCATCATCACAAATGCTGGCTCTTAAGGCTATTTTTCTCCAACAAACTGATTGCTGGCCATAAAGATGTTCAGTAGCAATTAGGTTTTATTGTTCCCATCTCACTTATGAGTATAGAAGCTATCAAAATGCAAAATGCACAGATCGTCAGACTTAGTAATTCTCCTTCTAGGAACTCATCCCATAGAAGTGTGCATGTGTGGTGCAAGGACGTATGTACATGGATCCTAATTTGCAATATGATTTAGGGTAGCAAAATAATGGACACAACCTAAATATTCATCAATATGAGGCTGGTTAAATAAAAGACGCATATAGCAGGGCAAGCATGTGGAAGTTCCCTGTGCACTGATGTGGAGTGATCAGTACAAAAAGCAAGGGGGAACAGTGGCTCAAGCATGCTAGCCAATGGATTTGTTGAAAAAGAAGCACATAACCGTATACGTGTGTGGGTATATGGGGATATGCGCTCACACACACACACACACACACACACACACGCACGCGCGCGCGGTGCAAAGAATAGTCGACAAAGACTTAACCTTGCCAAAGCTATGTAATAGTGGCACCTACTGGTAAGATCACTTCCTGTCCCAAAGTATTACCTTAGGAAAGAAAACCCATGATTTGCCTGCACAGCCATTTCAGCCATTAGTCAGGAAATATGTTTGTAATAAAGCTTCATAAGGAACTCTTCGCTAGTATTAGGTCTTCTGAGCATAAGACTTAAAAGTACCATCTGGCTGGGAAGTTATGGTTCATTATGGTCTGAATTGCAAGCTATAAAAAGGAGTGAAGAATATCTCTATATCCTTCCGTGGAGTGATCTCTGGCATATAGCGTTAAGTGAAAAACGCAAGATACAAAAAATTGGGCAGAGTATGCTATCATTGATCCAAGAAGGAGAGGGGGTTACAAGTAGACATATAGGTTTGCTTGTATTTTGTAAATGGAAAGAAAACATGTTTAAAAAAAATTAATGACTACCATAAAGGAAGGGAAGGAATGGGATGGAGGAGAGAGGAACAGAAGTGGATTTCTCAAAATCAGTGGTTCTCAATGGGGGCTATTTTGCCTGTGTCCCCAGGAGATGTTTGGCAAGGTCTGGAGGAATTTTTAGTGTCTCAGTTGGGGGTTGGGAGGAGTGTAGTACTGACATCTAGTGGGTACAGGCCCTGAATGCTCCTGAACATCCTACAGTGCACAGGACAGCGCCCCCCCACCCCCCGTCACCACAACAAAGCATAACCCAGCCCAAAATGTCAATAGTGCAAATTATATATCTAATAAGGAACTTGTATTTAGAATACATAAAGAACTCTCACAACTTAATAATACAAAGACAAGGGGTGCCTGGGTGGCTCAGTCAGTTAAGCGTCTGACTTGGGCTCAGGTCATGATCTCACGGTTTGTGAGTTCAAACCCTGCGTCAGGCTTTGTGCTGACAGCTCAGAGCCTGGAGCCTGCTTTGGATTCTGTGTCTCCCTCTCTCTCTGCCCCTCCCTAGCTCACAGTCTGTCTGTCTCTCTCTCAGAAATGAATAAACATTAAAAAAAATTTTTTAATAATAATAATACAAAGACAAATAACCCAACTTGAAAACAAGCAAAGGACTTCAATACATGTTTCTCCAAAGATGATATACAAGTGGCCAATAAGCACCTGAAAAGATGCTCAATATCCTTAGCCATCAGGGAAATGCAAATCAAAGCCACAAGATACAACTTTTACACTCACAGGATGGTTATAATCAAAAAGACAGATAGTAATGGGGTGCCTGGCTGGCTCAATTGGTAGCATGCAACTCTTTATCTTGGGTTGTAAGTTCAAGCCCCATGTGAGGTGTAGAAATTAAAAATAAAATCTTTTTTTAAAAAAAGACAGACAATAACAAGTGTTGAGGCTGTGAAGAAATTGGAACCCTTAGACACTGCTGGTGGGAATGTAAATTGTTGCAGCCACTTTAGAAAACAGTGGGACAGTTCCTCAAAAGCTTCAACATATATTGGAGCGCCTGGGTGGCTCAGTCAGTTGAGCGTCTGACTTTGGCTCAGGTCATGATCTCATGGTTCAGGAGTTCGAGCCCCACGTCGGGCTCTGTGCTGACAGCTCAGAGCCTGGAGCCTGCTTCAGTCTGTGTCTCCCTCTCTCTCTGCCTAACCCACTCTCATTCTGTCTCTGTCTCTCTCAAAAATAAATAAACATTAAAAAAAAAAAGCTTCAACATATAGTCACCGTATGACCTACAATTCCACTCCTACGTGTATATACCCAAGTGAAATGAAAACATGCGTCCACACAATAACTTGTACACCAATGGTCATAGCAACATTACTCACAATAGTCAAAAAGTAGAAACAACCCAAATGGCCATCAATGAATGAATGGATTAATAAAATGTGTTATGTCCATATAATGCAATATTATTCTGCATTAAAAAGAAACAAAGTACTGATAGATGCTATAACACAGACAGACCTTGACAACATTATACTAAGTGGAAGAAGCCAGTCACAAAACGCCACATATTGTATGATTCCATTCACATGAAGTATCCAGAAGAGGCAAATCCATAGAGACAGAAAAGAGATTAATGGCTGCCCAGGGCTAGGGGTGATAGTAGCCTGGGGGTGTCAGCTAAGTGGTATGAGGTTTCTTGTGAGGTAATGAGAATGGTCCAAAATTGACTGTGGTGATGGTTGCACAGATCTGTGCATATGATAAAAGCCACTGAGTCATACACTTCAAACGGGTAAATTTTACGGTATGTAAACTGTATCTCAGCAACACTGTTGAAAACAGCAATCATGGGCACCTGGCTGGCTCGGTAGGAAGAGTATGCAACTCTTGATCTCAGGGTCATGAGTTCAAGCCCCACGTTGGAGGTAGAGATTACTAAAAATAAATAATAAATAAACTAAAAAAAAAAAGCGATCACAATGGTCAGGTATGCACTCTCACAGAGGTGGGTACGAGGCACAGAAGGCAGAGGCAAGAAAAGAAAGGAGGTCAGGATACACTTCCCAGGATGAATAGGAAGTTGTCAGTCATCAGGTTTAGTTTACTTTTCTAATTAAATTTTTCATTGGTTTTAGTGAGATCCCATGGGAAGGGAGGTTGCAGGAAGGGGGACATCTCAGGTATAGGGAATACATCTAAAAAAATCGTTTAGATTGTCCAAACATAAACCCCCAAGTGCAGAAGGGATGGGGACACCAGACGTGAATTACAGCACCTCCTTATCCATGGTTTCGTATTGTCAGGGGTCAGTATAGCTACATCACAGCACCTGCGTCAGTCACCTAACCTCATCGCCTCACATACACATTTTAGCAGCTCACATCCTCACAGGAAGGAGGGTGAGTACGGCCCAGTAAGACATTTTGAGAGCCAAAGAAACCACATTTGCGTAACTTTCATTACGGTACCTTGTTATCATCGTTCCATTTTATTATTGTTGTTGTTCATCTCTTATTGCGCCCAATTTATAAACTATCACAGGTATGGATGGATAGGAAAACATAAAGCATATACAGGGCTGGGACTGTCCGCAGTTTCAGGCAGCCCCTGGCGGCCATGGCACGTGTCCCCCATAGATAAGGGGGGACTGCTATAGCAAAGCCGCAGGAGACACAGCGCAGTGGCCTTCAGTCCCAGCCAAGAACCTTGGACTGAATATTTCCTAGGAAAAGGAATCCGTGGAAGATGAGGAGCAGCGCAAAAACATTGTCACGTTTTTCTCAGAAAGACCGATGACTGCCAATGTGGAGACTAGACAGACGGGTGAGGAGTCCAGAGACAGGACAGCCCATTTATTTATATTAGCTGTTATAAATTGTTGTCACAGTCGATTTCATTGTTTCCTAAACATTAAGCTTGAAAACAGACGCAAAGAGAGATCAGTCCAGGACTGTGTCTTTCTTCAAGGCACAGCTGACAAGAGGGACTATTGAGAACAAAGCAGGTTGATACAAAAATAATAGTAGCAGTAGTAATAATAATAATAAAATCATATCTAACTTAAAATGTCCTGATGTTGTAAGGAAGAAATAATAATAATAGGCCCTTGTGAATTTAGGTCAGAGCTGGAAACAAAATGACAGTGACCCCACCCAGAAAGATAAACAAGGCACTTACCACAGGAACACGGGCATTTGGCTCAAATTCTGTGGACTCAGCATCTGAAGATTAAGAAATGAGTTCAATAATTCACTAATATTGCTGAAAAACAGTTTAAGTAATAAGAAATTTTTTTTTAATAAAAGTTATTAGCAGGGCACTTGGGTAGCTCAGTCGGTTAAGTGTCCGACTTCTGCTGAGGTCATGATCTTGCAATCCGTGGGTTCAAGCCCCAAGTCCGGCTCGGTGCTGACAGCTCAGAGCCTGCAGCCTGCTTCAGATTCTGTGTCTCTATCTCTCTCTGCCCCTCCCCCACTCACGCTCTGTCTCTCTGTCAAAAATGAATAAACACTAAAAAAAATTTTTACGGTTATTAGCAAACAGCAGGCTTACCTTTCAAGTTAAGGCAGTTTCTTGCAAACTCTATCACTGCTAGTTGCATCCCGAGGCAAATCCCTATTTGAAAAAGCATATATAGAAAATGGATGAACATATTTTGTATTGCTTCATATTTCCCATTCATTTGCTTACTGTCAGTCTCCTCCATCTAGAATGCAGGGTCGAGAGAGCAAGACTGCCTGCCGGGTTCACTACTGTACCCTCTGCACTCAGAACAACTGTGGCAGAGGCAGGAAGGGGGATTAGACGACTTGGACTTGAGGAAGAAGGAATTCAAGGTCAGAAAAGGGCAAGGGAAGACAGGGCAAGGTCCAAAGGCAAATCTGCCTCCTTCCAGAGGCCTCTAAATAGAGGCATAGGTGTGGGCTGCACAGCTGTGCCAGAGCACCTGATTCCTTCCGAGAATATCTGACAACACCCCGACTCAAGAGGGAGACTTCACACTCCCTCTTCTTGGAGGGCAGCCTCAGGCTGGCCAGCGGGCAGGGATCTGAGGAGTGGGAAGCCTGTGTCAGGCTGCTGGGCCCAGAACAGCCCTATAACCTCCCCGCCGAACACCGGCATCTCCAGGCGGGCTGGAACATGGTGGAGAGCAGGGAAGGGAGATCCACAATGGAAGCCAAGAGAGCTCGATGAGGAGAAAAACAGACACCTGTGTAGCTCCAAGCTGTCACACGGATGGGCCCTTCACCTGTCTCCGCATCTACCAATTCTGTCCGCTAAACGAATGCCAAGGAACACTCCAGATGTCATTATAGACACATCTAAGGTATACAAGGGACTCATCAGAGAAGAGCAATCCACATACTTGGCACACCAGAACGGAAGTTGGTGGGCATGAAACAGCTGGGTGCATTGGGGGGGGGGGGACTTCAGAAAGTTCCATATGGCTAAGACATAAAGAGACACTGTGGTAAAGAGAAAGCTAAAGAGTTGCAAACTATTCTATGCAGTGAAATCTGAATAACACTAAACACGTTTGGACAAAAACTGAACAAGATGACTTCGGAAGAAAACAGTGGCCCACATGAGCTCAGACTGGGCCAACAGAGCAAGGTATCAGGGTATCTGACTACTCCTGGCTTCTCTTTTGAAAACGGATTGCAAGTGGAGAGCATCTAGGAAGCCACTCAAAGGACAGGAGGCAGTGGGGAAAATGAACAAGGTGCTGATATAAAAGGCACCGAAGCCAGTCCACACGGTCACAAACCCACCAGTACAGCCAAACACGGGGTGAAACACAGCCTGTCCCCACCTTCCTTCCCACACCCCCCAGCCCCTGCCCGATTTGATTTCCCAGCTGCACGGCTGCCATTACCCCATCGAGGGGCCAATTCATCTGGGTTCACCAGTCCAGAAGCCACGTTTTGCAATTTGAGCAAAGGCATTAAAAAGACCTCGCTCGCTCTACCAAATTTTAGCAGAGCTCTTCCTGTGACGTTGGATGGTCTGACTGTATTATCTTTTCTAGTTTCAAGCAGTGAAAACACGGATTTGGGCGCTGTGGCCGACTATTTGCTACTTGAATGTTCAAATCCGAGTTCACACCCTTCACGTGAACAAACCCTATGAAATGTTAGCCCTACTAGATATCAACAATCTAATAAACCCGTAGTTAGGATCCATAAACATGAGTTTTACCCAGGAAAGGGATCTTCTTTGTCCGTGCCCAAGAGATTGCCTGGAGTTTTCCCAACGTTCCTCGGATTCCGAAGCCTCCTGGCACAAGAACGCCACTGCAATCGATACAAGACGAGGGTGAATTTGACGTTGTCTTTATTTTTAAAACTCTTATTCTCAGCCGCTCGTGTTTACTGATCCCAAGTCCAACACTTGCCATGGTTGCTAGAGAATATGCTTGAGGTCTATTTTCAGAATTGATGACATGATTTCATCATGTCCTGAACTTTCTTCTTGAAATCCTCCCAATGTTATGAAGAAGATGGAATAACTTCACAACTGACTTCAATCTATATTTTCTAATAGGTCTTGGTGGTCTGTGAGCATACATAGTGACTGAGAAAACTCAATTTGCTTTAAAATGCCACTGAGAGAATTGTCTGAATAAAAATAGGTTAAGGTTCTTTTAAAAGTACTATTATAGGGGCACCTGGGTGGCTCAGTCGGTTAAGCGGCCAACTTCGGCTCAGGTCATGATCTCGCGGTCCGTGAGTTCGAGCCCCGCGTCGGGCTCTGTGCTGACAGCTCAGAGCCTGGAGCCTGTTTCAGATTCTGTGTCTCCCTCTCTCTGACCCTCCCCCATTCATGCTCTGTCTCTCTCTGTCTCAAAAATAAATAAACATTAAAAAAAATAATAATAAATAAATAAATAAATAAATAAATAAATAAATAGTGGCACATGAAAATTTCCTGGCCAGGAGATACTTTAGAAACCTTCTAGGCAAACACTCATTTGAGGAGACAAGAATTCAAGAGATAGTTGGGACGGTCATGCTACCCTCACAATACAGTGCTGCCCCCCAAAGTTCTGTTGATTACTTATAAAATAAAATCTAGGGGCGTCTGGGTGGCTCAGCTGGTTAAGCATCTGACTTCGGCTCAGGTCATGATCTCAGGGTTCGTGAGTTCGAGCCCCACATTGGGCTTTGTGCTGACAGCTCGGAGTCTGGAGCCTGCTTCAGATTCTGTGTCTCCCTCTCTCTCTGCCCCTCCCCTGCTTACTCTGCCTCTCTCTCTCTCTCTCTCTCAAAAATAAACATTAACAAATTTTTTTTTAATTTAAAAACTGCACCAAAATTAGGAATTGAGGTAAATCCAATCATTATGGAAAAAGCACAATGGCATTCTGCTAACTGGTCCTGGACAGTCCTCAGCACTCACTCAGCTTTGCATAGCTTCTGCCAAGCTTCATGGAATTTCACCGGGTCCTCGGTTTCGGTGGTCTGCTCCAGATCAAAGGAGTCTATGTACTAAAAAACATCCAACAGATTAAAAGAACATTTAAGAAAAGTGATACTCAAAAATACTAGAGGCATCTAACATTGTGACCCAATTATTCAATAACTACTTATTATGCAAAAGAGAATGCTGTGGAAATAACTGGAAGCCGCACTTAATCTAGACCCAGACACTGCAGAAAAGATGGGAAGGAGCACCATCGGGAAAGTCTCTAGGGGGCTGATGTCCAAGAAGCTCAGCCCTGGAGGATGAGCATGCGCAGACAAGTTGGGAGGCCATCAGGAAGGTGTGTGGGAGACACGGGGAGGTGGGGTGGGGGTGGAACAGCTTGTATGAAACCTCAGAGTAAAGACAGAAAGGGGTGGTCACTCTGGGGCCCTCAAAAGACACTCCACTGAGGGAGAGGAGAAGTTGACACTTGAAGCCATTGGAAGGTCTTAAGGAACACAGAGAACAGAGAGGGATTTTAGAAGGATCACTGTGCTACAATGTGGAAAATGGAGGGAAAACGGCAAACCCGTCGGGAAGCCAGGCGAGGTAAACACAGAAGCAAAGTGGTCTGAAAAGAATACGACAAGACCATGATTCAAACAGTACTTCGCAGAAGCGAATGTCAACAAATTCTGTCAACCGAGAAATCACATACAAACTACTCCTAGGTACATAACAGTCCCTAGAGACCTATACTATTCTAGTATTTATTCTGTAAAAATTACTATCTGAATATATCTTAACATACAAAATTTTAAAGGCTTTATATAAAAAAAAAATAAAAAATAAAAAAAAATAAAGGCTTTATAAAGTTTGCGGTCTAACAATTTTTCTCTTGCTGTTTTCTTTTTTCTACGAGGGGGTGGGGGACTTGGATGAGCAGGAAGAGCAAGAAGAGAAGTAAGTATTCCTTGGAAAACCACAAATCAAAAGTGATCATGAAAGGAAGGGGCTAGACAGGTGAGAGAAAAGTCACATAGGTCCTTAGTTGGAAGTTATGAAATTTCTCAGATGTATACATGTATCTTTTTGGTCATTATATAAAGGTTCACCATTTAAATCAAGATAATAAGGCTTGTTTAAACCACAGTATAACTGTATAGAATATCATTAAGTATAACATATATATAGATAGATAGATATATACACATACATACATATATATGCATATATATGTATGTGTGTATTTATCTAGAAAAATATACACATATGTGTGTATTTGTCTAGAAAGATATGCATTAAACTGGTAATGACAGGTACAAGAGAGAAGTAGGATTTCAGGAAGGAAGGACCTTCTACTTTCTGCCTTTCATACGACGCTTTATTTAAATTTCCTACACTAGGCATGTACAACTTCCATATCTAACAAAGACAAAGAATATACTCAAGCTGCAAATATGAATTCCCCCAGACCTCCCATACATCTTTTCCCTTTGCTGACTTTGCTCTCTCTCCTTTCAGTTATTAAATCTTAGCCACAAGTCCAGCTATGTGCTGAGTAGTGTGAGTCCTCCTGGTGACATCAATCCTGGAGGCTGTCTTGGGGATCCTTCGACACAACCTGCCCCTGAAACACGAGATGTCACAGCGAATGACTGAAATATATGGAAGAACAGCTGGGGCTCACCATCAGATTCAACTTGTGGTTGATGGCCAACGCAGAATGTTCTAGGGCTTTGAACACAGAGGCGTAGCAGTCCCTGAGCTTGGTGTATTTGCCAACCAGGGCTATGGAGCACGTTTTCTGCAATCGTTCATACCTGAGATGAAAGACAAGTTTAAAGGTTATATGCATGTAATATAACATCACAAACACAATGACAGCCACTGTTCTTTTCCCAAGGCACTTTTTAAAAACCTTAAGGGCAGATGAGCCTCGAACTGGATGTACTTGACTCAAATCCCCACCCCACCCCCAATGAATGAAAACCTGTGTGCCAACAGATTGCAAAATCATAAGAAACCCCAATATTGGCCTATATAAGCCGGCACAGATATAAATCCAAGGAAACAGTATCAGAGAAAAAGCTAAAAGCATTAAAAATAAAAAAGCTCTCCCCATCTCATAAACATGAGCTGTCCTTAAATTCGTTTATAAGGTGACACTGTATAAGAAAATGCGTTGTGAATGTCAACAGGAAACATTTCAATATTAACTTTGTAAGGTGACATTATATAAGAAAATGCGTTCAAACTGTCTAATGTTAAAAATGGTTACAGTCCCAGCTGGCCCACAAAAGCCAGGTTATTCGTGGCATGCCTGAAGAATGGCACTAAGAGAACTCTTTAAACTATTACAAGCCATTTAGATCAGTTTTATGAGAAAATGCCATTCTACATAAGATGCTTAATCACATTTTACTGTTAAAGACACGACGTTTACTGTTGCTTTTGTTACCAAATCTGTTCAATGAACCTGAAAATTGTTTGGTCTGGTACTACGTACATAGAAATGTCATCTAGGGGCTGAAGATGATTAGGGTGATCCCCAAACACCTTAGAAGAGAAAGGTTGCCATGAGCGGGAGTAGTCCTCTTTCCTACCAACATCTGCTAAGTGTGCCAGAGAAATGTGATCGCAGGCAGGTGAGGAGGAGAAAAATGCCTAAGAAGCTAAGGAGTCAAAACTGACAGTAAAGGTGGCTTTCTGGGAAGGTGACTAAAGCACCTGGGAAAAGCCTACTAAATCTTTAGCTCGCTCCTGAATTTTACATCGCTCTGGAGATTGAGTGGCTGCCCAGGCTTCACCCCATCGCTGCAGAAAGGACACAGGTGACAAAGCAAGTGGCATCGAGGCAAGATTCCGATACCAAGTCAGAGGGAAGCGCTTCCCGCGCCAGATTTGGCCCCAGGGAACTGGCAATCGTGACCCCATCAGAGCACAGCGGCCGGGCTGAGCCCTTACCCTTGGGTCCCACCCCTCTATTGAAGGAGGGACGTTGGCTCCGGTCCCGGGAAGGAAGCAGGACTGGGGTCAACACTACCAGCTCCTCCTTCTAGTCACTCAGTCTGGTCTATCCGGGGGAGGAGGAGTCACTCGGCAGCTGGGTGAGACAGGGAAGTCCACTGGGCCACCCGTCCCAGGGAGAAGGGCTGCCATTGGGAAAGGATATGTATCCTGAGCCCACTCCCCTCGTACTCTTTCCCTCTTGGGGCTGCAGGCGAGGCTCCCGGAGCCCTGTCCAGACCAGCCCAGCTCCCACATGCTCTCCACTCGGCCATTAACTAGGTGTGAGAGGCCAGCCACAGAGGCTGCCATGAGCCACTCCATAGGCTCACCCCACAGGCAGGTCCCCGGGGAGGCGAAGCCACCTCCAATTTGGGCGGAGGTCCCAGGCGAGCTCTGCCATCCAGTTCAGCCAGGGACCCCTGGCCTCTGAGCAGCACTGGACTTCCATGAATGAGTCTGCCCTGTGACCTCAATTTGCTTTCTTATAGCTGTCTACATACCACCATTACCAATAAACCAACAGCACCACAAGGGACCGATGCTCAGTATCACTTTTGCTTAAAGACCGCAGTGAGCTGAATGGTGGCCTCCAAAGACATATGTCCCCCAGAACCTGTGGATGTGTCCATATTTGGAAGGAGGGTCTTTATGGATACAATTATGTCAAGGATCTCGAGATGAGATCATCCTGGATTAGGATGGGCCCTAAATCCAAAGACAAGCATCCTTATGCAAGCAGAGAGGAGGAGGGGAAAAAGAAGGAGGAGGAAGAGGAAGAGGAGGAAATGGAGAAGGAGAGGAGAGACACAGAGAAGGCCATGCAATGACAGAGCCGGAAACTGGGGTGACATGGCCACGAGCCAAGGGACACCAGGGATTCCCGGCAGCCCCAGAAGCTGGAACAGTTTCTCCCTCAGTGCCTCCAGAAGAAACCAACCCTGCTGAAGCCTTGATTGTGAATTTCTGACGTCCACAACTGTGAGAGAATGAATTTCTCATATTTTATGCGGCCCAGTTTGTGGTAATTTGTTTCAGCAGCCACAGGAAACTAATAGGAAAACCAAACCCTGGCTTTAAAAAGCACAGCAGCATAGAGTAATTTAGAGTTATTTCCAATAAAAAGAGTTAAACATTCAAATTTCTAGTGCTTAAAGAGGATCAGCCCCAAGCTACTCAGAAAATTCCTGTAAAGCGACTGATTCCTTAACTGTATCGTCATTCAGTAGAGCACCTGAGTTCCGAAACTGCACTTTATTCCTGATTTTACTTGCCCCAGCAATTCTAAAACTCTTTTTAAAGTTTTAAGTGAGAGGGCAAGAGAACTTCAAACTACTGGTCATCTACCAAAGGCAGTCATTTTGTTACCATCAAACCATTTTAATTATTGTTACCAACCTCAGTAACACTGAGGAACCAATACCCAGGGCCCAATGCGAGACTAAGGTTTAATGTGTTTTCTCTCAGAATTATCTCAATGTGGGTACTAGTATCCCACTGTTATATATGGATGCGAAAGCAGGTCCAGAGAGGTTGAGTAATCCACCCAAACTCACGCAGCTAGTGAGAGGAAAAGCTGGGGCCTGAATGCAGAGTTCCTGATGCCAGAGCTTACATTTTCTTATTGAGATATAAGTGACATATAACATTATATTGGTTTCAGGTATACAACATAATGATTCAATATTTGTGTATGTGTGTTTGTCACTGCTGCACCTGTTGCCTCTACCTAAGTTGCAAAAAAATCCAGCAGTCAGGACTTCACAGAGTTAGGCCTTGTCTACATCTAGTAAAACAAACAGGTGATAGGGATTTAATTTCCATATGGCTTCAAATGAGACAAACCTTGTTGAAATTAATACCGTTGTCTTAAAGCTAGAACCTATCTATCTGAGGTTTTGATAACAATGCTGATAGTTAATAACTGCATGAGGGAACAATAATGATATAGCCTAAACTTCTCATTCAAAGGGATTTTTGGGGTGCCTCACTGGCTCAGTCAGAAGAGCATGCAATTCTTGATCTCGGGGCTCTAAGTTCGAGGCCCACAGTGGGGGTAGAGATTACTAAAAAATAAATAAACTTAAAAAACAAAGCAAAACAAACAACAACAAAAACCCGTGACATTTAAACCTGTTTAAAATATTCAGAAACGGGGTGGCAGGGATGAAAAAATATATATATTCAGAAACTGGGTGCCTGGGTGGCTCAGAGGTTAAATGTCTGACTCTTGATTTCGGCTCAGGTCATGATCTCATGGTTCGTGAGTTCGTGCCCCACGTTGGGCTCTGTGCTGGCAGCATGGAGCCTGCTTGGGATTCTCTCTCTCCCTCTCTCTGCCACCCTGCTCATGCTCTCTCTCTCTCTTAAAATAAATAAATTTTTAAAAAAGGAAAAAAGTTTAAAAATATAAAATATGTATTCAGAAAACTAAGAAATAAACTAATAAATCAAAATGCTTCCAGAATTAACAACAACAAAAAATCATTCCAGAATCCAAATTCTTTCAATTCACTTTCATTTAAGTAGAAAAAAATCAAAAGCCCCAGAAATCTTCAAAGAATATAGCAAAACACTCTAACAATGTGTTAAAGCTTTAGATAAATCCAGATCAAAACATATACAGACAGAAAGCGGAATGTGACATAGATATCCTTCAAACTATGTCTCAGTCCTACCCCAAAACCCAAGAATTATTCAAGATTACATTAGTAATTCCTTTCACGTACCTGTCAGCCATATTTCTCCACTTGAAAAGCAAATTACTTGCAGAATCACCAATGGGCAGATCCAATCTCTCTTTAAAATATTTGACAATGCCTTGTTCCTCCAAAAGCACAGGTACTCGATATGTAGAAGAAACATCATGGATACATATGACCTGATTAATGATGATAAAACACCATATTTAAATGGAACACCTCAAATATGCCTCAAGAATGAGCCAAAACTCAAGAGACATGGTAGTTCATTTATATTGATTGAGGAAAAGCAAGAGCCCAGTGACCCAAACAAGAGGCAGAATTAATACAAGCTTACTTTGATCTAATCATAAAACTCTTTGAACTCCTTATTCTAAATTGGGAAACGTGGATGCTGTGGTAGTGTGTGTGTATATATATATATATATATATATATATATATACATAGACTTTGCTCTCAATTTCTGGCACAAAGCTTTAAAAACCTTTGGAATTTCCTGACAGGGGTAGGGTTATCTTTGTTATGCTAATGAAGTGACTCATGGTGGCCCCTAGATGGCTTCAGGATGGGAGTTGGTCACCAGAAAACCCAACCGAGTTAGGCTAGAACTTTCAGCCACTTGACTTCTGAGGACAGTAAGGGGGCTGGAGCATGAGTTCAGTCATGTGACCAATGGTTTACTCAACCAAGCCTATATCATGAAACCCCTATTAAAAAAATTCTGGACACCAAGATTCAGGGGACTGTCCCGGTTGGTACACATACAGATGTACCAGGATGGCGGCACAGCCTGACTCCATGGGGACAAAAGTTTCTGCACTTGGGATCCTCCTAGGCCTTGCCCTACGTATCTCTTCATCTGGCCGTTCATTTGCACTCTTTATAATAAAATGACAATAGTAAGTATAGCATTTTCCTGAGTTCCATGAATCGTTCTAGAGAATTATCGAACCTGAAGGGGTTATGGAAAGCCCCAAATTAGCAGTCAACCAGGCAGGAGTGGAGGTGGCTTGGGAACACTGGAAACTTTGGTGTCTGAAGTTGGGGGGGAAGTCTTGTAAAGAATTCAGCCCCCGGGGCACCTGGATGGCTCAGTCGGTTAAGCGTCCGACTTTGGCTCAGGTCATAATCTCACAGCTCGTGAGTTCGAGCCCCGCTTCGGGCTCTATGCTGACAGCTCAGAGCCTGGAGCCTGCTTCTGTTTCTGTGTCTCCCTCTCTCTCTCTGCCCCTTCCCTGCTTGTGCTCTGTCTCTCAAAAATAAACATTAAAAAAATTTAAAAAAAAAACAAACAAAAAAAACCTCAGCCCTCAAATCTGTGGAGTCTGATGCTCACTCCAGGTAGTTAGTGTCAGCGTTGAAGTGCAGGACCCCAGCTGGTGTCAGAGAATTGGTGTTGGAACACGGATGCTTTATGTGTCAATATCTAAGACATCTGGCCCAAGGCATCACCTTCTAAGTCTAGGCTAAAGCAGTAACACTGAACACGTACACTGTGTCTTCTAAATGTGGGTATGTGGTTCGCTTGTGCATTCATTTGTTGCTGTTGCTGCTGGTGTAGTGCTTTTGTCTACTCCCTTCATTTGGATACATTTCCAAGTACATATTGAACCCAGTCAAATTAATTACACCTGTTAGAGGAGAATGGCTCCTTTAAATGTCAGGTGCTATGGTTGTTTTTCACATCTATCCTAACGAACTTTCATCACACTCTTAAGTACATCCGACGGGCTGCTGGCAGGCATTTAAGGGTCTGCCACATTCTAACTCAATGCCAAAGAAATGTTCTTCTAACTCTGTGTGTTCAGTCTCCCCAAATCCATTGCCAAATCCACCCAAGGGTTCCTAAGCTGTTTGGACACCACCAACTTGATACTTAGAGGACTTTTGGGCCTCACTTGGAACAAAGAAATGGGAGCATTAACTCACATCAGAAAAAAATAATGTGCTGAAAAATGGCTAATAAACTAGCCTGTGGACTGATAGGATAGGGCATTCTTCAGAATCTATGGTCCTGTAGAAAACAGGCTCTGTGTGGTCAGAAATTTGCATTCTTCTGTTCTCAAAGCTCTCAGTAACCCAACTCTGAAAACTGTATCCTCCTTCCATTTCAGTAACCAAGTTGTATTTATACAACACAGACACAAAGTACTATGTACCAGTAGGAAGGATACAAAAAACAACAGAACAAAACCAAAGTGGCTTGATGACATACAAATACAGGAGAGTCCTTCAAACCTGCCATCACATTTTTCAAAATAGTTCAGACGTGTGTGCTGACCCTGAAGCATTAGACAGGAGGCTGTGCACGAGACTGCCTCCAGAGATACAGAAATCCAATTAGAGGGTTTTAGGCTTCAAAGAACCCAGAGCTAATCTGAAGAAAACAAAAGGTTCCTGCCAAACCTCACCCTTTTCCTGAGTGCCATTCATATCACTTTGTAAACTATAGCAACTCTGATCCCTTACACCTAAGCCTCGTTGCAAACAAGAGACAGATAAGAGAATGAAAGAAAAAAGAAAAAGCTCTCAGATACCCAAATGGAAAGTCCTGCAGGACAGAGGACGTGAGCCCAAATCACCATACAGTTTCTGTAGCAATGAATTGAACTGAGACCACTGATGTAATCAGAAGTGATAGTGTGAATGTCAGTGTAACGTGTGGTCTGGATGGAGCGAGCTGTAACACATACAAAGGAGAAATCGCAGTGAAAGCAGTAAGTGTCCCGGAAAGACAAGATAAACAGACGATAAGCAGGCTTCACATGGTTCTCTCTCTAGAGGTTTGACTGTAAGTTAAAAAGCCCACCTGGCTTTGTACCTGTAACTTGAGGAGTGATTATGCAAGGAAACATGTGATCTACCTAAGGAATCAGGAGTCTCTCACATTGTTCACTTCAGGGCAAGGGAGCTGTGGCTGGATATGAATCTCCCAAAGCTTTCATAAATGCCATGAAAAGTAATATGATAATTGAAGAGATGCAAAACACTAGCATCAGCAGAAGTGCCTGCAAAGCAATAAAATCGAAAGAGCAGCACTAACCTGTTCAGGGTTCACATGACAAAACATTGAAATCTTTTCCTTCACGGCCATTTCGATAGGCGTTGAACTCCGGCAGACAATCTGTCAACGTCAGTTTTGCACAGGTCAGCAAGCAGGAACCCAGCTGTTTGTCCCACCATTAGTTTTCAGGAGGATGCTATATTAATCTCTTCTTTCAACCAGAGACCTGACCAAGTATGTACCTGTTCATTCTGGGTATTCCACCGGACTCGTAGAAACACCTGAGCACTGATATAAGCCAGTATAATCAAACTCAACACAAATCTACCAGTAAGAACTCAAAATGTCCAGGCGTCTCTAGTAAACAAGAGGGAAGGCTCACAAACGTTGCTTCTTTAGATATAAGAACAGAGCTTGGCCAGGGGTTGGCAAACTTTTTCTCTAAAGGGCTAGAGAGTAAACATTTTAGGTTTTGCAAGTCAAGAAGTGACTGTCCTGACTACTCAGTTGTAGCAGTGCAGTATGAAGGCAGCTGTGGACAAATGTAAGCAACAGATGATACCATGTTCCAATAAAACTTTATTTATGGGCAGGAGGCCTGCAGGCCCTTATTTGCTAACCTCTGATCTAGACTATTCTGGTGATAACTGGATGACCTGTTATAAATAAGAGCAGTGACAGCCCACCCTAGTGGGTCTTAGGAAAATCTCAAAGGTCCCACCTCACTCTAAAAGACCTAAGGACCATAAAAATGACAAGACATTGCACTTGCCCAGCTGTCAATGTGGCCAATTGCATGAGGACCCTGAGGAGAACAGAGCACCAGTTTAGAAATGTGTGAAGCTACCCTCGAGGATATGGGACTGTCCCTCCCCTGGCCCCCAGAGACACGAAGTTCAATGTCAAAGGAACCATTTGAGAGATAGAAAGGACTTAGATGATGCTATAGATCAAGAAACGGAGGTCCTATTCCAAGAAATTTACTCACTCTCCTTAACTCACCAGATCAGGAGACAGGCCTAACCCTCTCAGCGCACGGACACTGTTTTGTGTGGGTTTGGTTTTTTGTTCTCCAGTAGCACTGGGCTGAAAAGAGATGGGTCACTGTCAGTATATTGGATATTTAGCTTGTCTAGATAATGAATGGCTCCCTAGCTTAAAATATGGAATAAATAGGCAGAGAGTTTCTCTTTTGCTGTCCTGCCCACTGCTCCCTTGCAGTGTATTCAATAAACTTCTATCTCCTTTTTAAAAATGTGGAACAAATAGAATATCATAGGAAGACTTTTAGAAGTTGCTGTCTACAGGGCTGCCTGGGTGGCTCAGTTGGTTAAGCGTCCAACTCTTGATTTCAGCTCAAGTCATGATCTCACAAACTGTGAGACTGAGCCCGGAGGCAGGCTTTGTGCTGGCAGCGTGGAGCCTGTTTGGGATTCTCTCTGTCCCTCTCTCTCTGCTCCTGCCCCACACATGTGCACGCTCTCTTTCTCTATTAGAAAATTAAAAAAAAAAAAAAAAGATGAAAGAAAGAAAAAAGAAAGAATTTGCTGTCTATATACTTATCTGGAAAGCTCACCTGTGGAACTAGGCTAACATGGATATTGCAGAAATTCTCTCTTTTTGCTTTAAACTGGAATTGTCTGAATGCTTCCACAAATGGCATCCCTTCAATGTCTCCAATGGTGCCACCCAACTAGGAATGGGGAAAAAAAACAAAACACATGTGATCTTCCACAGTATATAGACTAACAGAAACATTATTAATAAACAGAGCACAAGACAGGGCACGCCAAGGTGGCTCACTCGGTTAAGCATCCGACTCTTGATTTTGGCTCAGGTCATGATTTCACGGTTCATGGGTTTGAGCCCTGGGTTGAGCTCTGTGATGACAGCATGGAGCCTGCTTGGGATTCTCTCTCTCTCTCTCTCTCTCTCTCTCTCTCTCTCTGTGCCCCTCTCCCCCCGCCCCTCCCCCACTCACTCGTGTGCGCTCTCTCTCAAAATAAATAAATAAACTTAAAAAAATAAACAGCACAAAAACAGAGGTTTATACACATATCAAAAATCATTGAATTGTATACTTAAAGCAAGTGAAATTTATGATATATAAATTAAGCCTCACTAAAACTGTTTGATATGATGAGGAAAAGCGCCGTACATTTAAGGAGATGAAACAAAGGAAAGAGAAAATGGAAACTAGAAGGTAAACTAAGAAGAAAGGATACAGTGTAACATAACCAGGTAAACAGATAAGAGAATAAACAGAGAACATCACGAAGGGAAAAGAAAACGGAGCGCCTGAGTGGCTCAGTTGGTTGAGCACCCAACTATTGGTTTCAGTTCAGTTCATGATCGATCCCCGCATCCCATTCTGCACTAGGTGTGGAGCCTGCTTGAGATTCTCTCTCTCCCTCTGTCCCTTGCCCAGGCTTGCTCTATCTCTCCCCCCGCCTCTCTCTCTCTCAAATTAAAAAAAGGGAGGGGGGAGGAAGAAAGCGAGGTCAAGGAGGGCTCTAAGAATGACCTGACTCCTGGGGTGCCTAGGTGGCTCAGTCAGTTGAGCATCCGACTTCAGGTCAGGTCATGATCTCCCAGTTCGTGGGTTTGAGCCCCACATCGGACTCACTGCTGTCAGTGTAGACAGCATAGACAGATCACTGCTTCAGATCCTCTGTCCCCTTCTCTCTGCTCCTCCCCTGCTCATGTGCTCTCTCTCAAAAATAAAAAAATAAAACATGTAAAAGAATAAAGAATGACCTGATTCCCATGTTATAAGATCCTGTTGTGTGGAGACAAGGACTAAGTTAAGGAAATGAATTCTGCTATTACTGATTCACTTTACAGATAGTAAATCCCCCCATTCAAAAAAATGGGGAACCATTATAAAGCTGTCAACGCTTCATCTCACCAAGACTGAAAAAAAAGTTTAAATTTTTTTTTAAATGTTTACAAAAAAAAAAAAAAAAAAGAAGGCTTTAAGAAAAGGGAATGCATAAGCAGATAAAAAGATCCACACTATAGGCCACTGAGGAGTGAGATCAGCTAGTTCCTAGGGGTGAAATACCTCGTGCTCTCTCTCTCTTTCTCTCTCAATCTCTCTCCCCCTTTTCATGTGTATACACACACACACACGCACGCACATACACACACACCCCTGCATGCAGCTGAACATTTCTTTTTGCGATGGTGATATTACTAGAATTAAACAACTGCTATTAAAATATGCTGGCTTTCTGAATCAGGTAGTGCCAAAAGAATATTCCTGACAGTGTAATCCTTTGATAAATGTTAGCTTAATTTACAATGTGCTTCCAACAAGTAAGGCATTTTAAAGTAAGCATTTACTTTAGGATAAAATTTGCCTTAACCTACACATCCTCACCATATTTAAATACTTAAAGATATCACCTGGATTTTAAAATTAATTCTTTAGCATGTGACAATCTACTGCATGCTCAACACTATAAATGAGGTGCTGAGAAGAATTTAAGACAATGTGCTCTTCAGGAGCTCAGAATTTAGCGACAAAAATCTAGCAGAGGTAAAGAACAATAATCAAGAGTAAAACTTAGACACTAACTGGAATGATCCGGACGCTGAGGAGGAAAGAGATCATGGTGGGCCCAGTCCCAGAACCCACCATCTTGTCTGGCTTCAGCTACCTGACTAGGTCTGAAATCTACTACGAGCCCTGTCCTGTCTTCCCAGCGCAACTGGGTTTTGGAGCCAACAAGTCCTTGACATCCCGGATGGCTCAACAATTACTCAAACTTACCGTGTCCCAAACCGAACTCCCCCACCCCTGGGCCTGTTTCTCCGCGTGTCTCCTCATCTCAGCAAAAGCGTCTCTTCCCACTAACTGGTTCAAGCCAGCTGTCTGGAAATCATCCTTGATCTCCACTTTTTCTCAACCGAGTCCAGCGGGTCATACCTGTAAAACCTCTTGAAAATCTCTCCCCTGCTCTCTATGCCCACTGTTACCACCTTAGACACTCATGCCAACACCACCTTTTGCCAGGATTATTGCAATAATCTAAACTAGGGGGTGGTAAACTACAGCCCCACTGTTTGCTTTTATATATAAAGTTTTATTGATTGGGGGCGCCTGGGTGGCTCAGTCGGTTAAGCGTCCAACTTCAGCTCAGGTCACGATCTTGCGGTCTGTGAGTTCGAGCCCCACGTCGGGCTCTGGGCTGATGGCTCAGAGCCTGGAGCCTGCTTCCGATTCTGTGTCTCCCTCTCTCTCTGACCCTCCCCCGTTCATGCTCTGTCTCTCTCTGTCTCAAAAATAAATAAAAACGTTAAAAAACAAAAAATTTAAAGTTTTATTGATTGGCCAAAGGTATGCCCATTTATTTATATACTGTCTGTAGCTGCTTTCACACTACAATGGCAGAGTTGACTCTCTGACCCTCAAAGGTAAACATATCTACTATCTGGCCCTTTAAAGAAAAAGTTGGCTGACTGCCCCCCCTCCCCCTCCAAATGGTCTCCTAGTTTCTCCCCTCTCCTATCCTACAATTAAATCATCTGTCACACACCAGCAAAGTGACCTTATAAAAACTCAGAATATTAAAACAAAACAAAACCTCACAATATATCTCTTTTGTGTTTATACCCTCAGTAGCTCACTGCTTCACTAAAAATAAAATCTAAATTCCTTTAGGCAGCCAACCAAAAACCCTACATGATCTGGCCTTTGCTTAGGGTTCTAATCTCATCTCACGCCCCTGCTCACCGGCCGGGGGCCGCCCCCCCACTCCCCACACACCCTGCCTGTGCATCAGCCCCACTGGCTTCTCAGGTCCTCAGATGGGCCGCTCTCTTCCTTCCTGCCCCTTAAGCTCTCTTACCCTCCTTCTTTATTTATCTACACCTATCTCTTCTTTATCCTTCAGCCTGAAAGGCTATGTCTTCCTCAGAAAGCCAGACCTTGCCACCCACCTAGAGTAGCCTCCCTCCCACTGCTCCCTGCCATAGCACTGTCTGTGCCCTTCCTACTAACTCAGCACCAGGTGCTGTTATTTCGCGTGCGCACTTGTTTCCTGCCACTAGCTATAAGCCCCAGGAGAATAGGAACATACCTTCCCTGCTCCCTACCCTATCTCTGGCATAAGCCCAGCTCCCTGCACACAGCACTGGGGTTGAAGGGGTTCAGGACAGGTCTCCCAGAAATATGCCACCTTGCCATGATTATTTTGAATTAAAAGCAATCAAAACCCAGCAGAATCAGGAAAAGTTCTTTACCTCCCCATCAACTGCCTAAATTTACATTGGGTAGTGCGGGATCCCTGTACCGGGAAGAAAGTTATTCCCAGAGATCCCCTTTACCTGAGAAACTTAGCTGCATAACAGGGAAGTCCGTTTTCCAAACATCCCCTCTGTCTCCCTGCAAATGGCCTTCCTCCCTTTGTATCCCCTAGGCCTCTACTCCTCTCCTTGGTTCAGGGTGTCATATAAGCCTCATTTTGCCTGACTGCTTGGGAATCTCTCATGTTTATATGGATTTTCTGTACGTATGTAATACAGCCTTTGATTTTCTCCAGTTAATCTGTTTCATGTCAATTGGATTCTTAGACCAACCGGAAGAACATTGAAGGGTAACAGTAAAATTTTCCCTCTCCAACAGGGTTTAGCTTAGCAGTCATCTCAGGGCAGAAGGGTCTCAAAATTCAATATAAGCCCTAGGTAACAGCATTCTAGTACCTGTTACCATAACTGCAATGGAATCAAACTAAGAAATCTCGAGACTACATTGTTACAGAAAAGAAAATGATTCTTTATTAATTTTAAGTCAGATAACAAAACAATTAAAATTCAAGCTTTCTGGGTGTGGCACAGATAGAAATATATGACCTTTCTGTAGGAGAATGACAAACTTAATTACGAAAATCCTAGAAATATCACATGCAATCAGGAAATTGGCAGGGGGTGAGGGGTTTAAGTGCTCACCAACTGCAAGGTACCAGAATCTAATGGGAAAATATTTTAGGGAAAAAAAAGGTCTGCACTGAAACTAAACCATATAGGGACATCTGTTTTTTCATAGGTGTATTCTGGTAATTTAAGGGCAATCTGAAAACGGAGGCAAAAAGCTTTAAACATTATCCACTTCTGCCCTCACATGGCTTAGAGTGGTACTGCACAGTCTCAGCCAATTTGGAAGATCCCATGACCACTCCTCTGGCTCCCGATTACCATCATTGTCATCAGAAACCTTCTGCATTATTACTAGAATACTCCTAAGTTCATTATTTCCCCCACACAACAAGGAAAATATCACCCATAACAATGTTTTAAGACTTATCCAAAGTTGAAATCAAAGCAACAGCAAATTTATGAGATGTGCAATGTCTGTTTTGCCTTTAAGGAAAGGATTCTTCTTTTTTGAAAGAAAGAGAGAGAGAAAGAAAGAAGCCTTTTATTCCTTTAAGCCAGGCATAAATTATTTCAGGTGTATGCGGAGATAACCTGGACTAATACAAATAAAGCTTGTCAGCTCCATGGGTCTGAGAAGTAAGAGCCTCACCAAAAGGCTTTGGAGACATTTCAACAGCTTCTACATGCTTAAAACTGAAAATCAGCCTGGTGGTCTTTTTTTTCAAAAGCTTAAATAGTGCACAAACACAAATGTTGAGCACAACTTAAAATGAGCCCAAAAGGCTGCCTGATCTAGTGTCCATTAAGCAAATATATGAATGTCAGGGTTATATGAAGAAGGAGCTTTGCTGGGGACAACTTGTCACAGTTTCTCTGTTTCCAAGAAATTAAAAACGAAGATGAGGAGTCCTGAAGAGCAGGGCTCAGGTCATATTTGCCTTCCTATGGCTAGCAGTTAGCATTGGGACCAGTGCCCATTAAGCGCCAAATTAATGTTTTTTAAGCCAAACCAATCAATTCAAGAACAGGATAAAAATTAATATAAAGAACAAAGGCATAAAAAAAGAACAATATGCAAGTACAGGCCTAAAATGTTTGCTTGTTGTTTGATGGGATGGAAATTTCAGTTTAATTTGAGAGGTCATTGAGAATTCTTGATTTTACTGTACAAGTGGAATCTTCAACAATTAGAGTCTAAATCTGTAGTATGCCACTTTGTAAAATGATCACAAAGAGAATCAGGTGTGCTGGCCCCAGAAGGAAACATAAAAGCTTTCTTCAAGGATGATTCTCAAAAAACAATAGCTAAGGGGCGTCTGCGTGGCTTGGTCGGTTAAGCGTCCGACTTTAGCTCAGGTCATGATCTCACGGTTTGTGAGTTTGAGCCCTGTGTTGGGCTCTGTGCTGACAGCTCAGAGCCTGGAGCCTGCTTCAGATTCTGTGTCTCACTCTCTTTCTGCCCCTCCCCCACTCGCACTCTGTCTCTCTCAAAAATAATAAATAAACATTAAAAAAAATTTTTTTAGGGGTGCCCAAGTGGCTCAGTCGGTTCAGGTCATGATCTCGTGGTTCGTGAGTTCAAGCCCCACGTTAGGCTCTGTGCTGACAAGAGCCTGAAGCCTGCTTCAGATTCTGTGTCTCCCTCTCTCTGACCCTCCCCACTTGCATTCCGACTCTCTCTCTCAAAAATAAACATTAAAAAATTAAAAAAAAATTTTTTTAAGCAATAGCTAAAAAACAGACAAAATGAAAAAGAAGGGTTAAGAAGGCTCTTCTCAAGGTCAAATTGGGCTTATATGTTAATGATGTTCAAAGGCAGTTCAATTACATTAAAAAAATAGATTTACCCCTTCTCCTTTTCTGTGATGATAATTTATTTTTTAAAAAAGAGCAGAGGCAAAAACATGCATACACAAGACCATTTGGAAATTTTCCTGTTATTAAGGTTAATAGTCTTAAAAAAAAAAAAAGGCTATTTTTTGCCTTTCCTGTTGCTAGAACAGCAGAATCTAGTGAAAGTGCTAGACCAGCACTCTCCAATAAAAATTAAAATATTTAAAATTTGTTTTTTTAATTTTTAGAGAGAGAGAGAGGGTGCAAGCGAGGGATGAGGCAGAAAGAGCTAGAGAGAGAGAGAAAGAGAAGCAGGGCTCACCCGAAGAGGAGGGGCTCACGTTTTTACCTAAAGTGGGGCTCGAGTTCACCCGAAGCAGGACTCGAGCTCACAAACCGTGAATCATGACCTGAGCCGAAGTCAGATGCTTAACCAACTGAGCCACCCAGGCGCCCAATGTTTTAACGTTTTTAGCTGCCACATTCAAAAGAGCAAACAAAAGTAAACAGGAGAAATTAATTTTAACATTATATTTTATGTAGCCCAATATATCCAAAATGTTATTTCATAGCTGAAAAGGCTCTAAAGAAACACAAGGAAAGAATGGGGCACAGGTGTATCAAAATCTTAAAGAGCAGTCGAGCTGAAGTTAGAACTCACTATGATCCACCACAAAGGCTTGTGGCCATGCCGCAGCCAGGTCCCTACCACAGACCTGGAGCTGGCAGAGGCTATCACGGCATTGGCAGGGGAGCTGGCTGTAAACAGATGAGGTGAGGGGCTTACGGTGGACGCTGCGGAGGCTATGATGATTATAATGGCCATAATGATGGGGGCAGCTGGGTGGCTCAGTCGGTTAAGTGTCCGACTTCGGCTCAGGTCATGATCTCACAGTCTGTGAGTTCGAGCCCCACGTCGGGTTCTGTGCTGACAGCTCAGAGCTTGGAGCCTGCTTCCGATTCTGTGTCTCCCTCTTTCTCTGTCCCTCCCCGGCTTGTGCTCTCTCTGTCTCTCACTCTCAAAAGTAAATAAACATAAACAAAATTTTTTTTAAATAATGGCTATAATGATGGCTATGGATATGGGTCAGACGGATTTGGAAGAGACCTCAATTATTGTTTTTCAAGAATGTCTGATCAGAGATAATGGAGGGGTGGCTCTACTTTCCAGAGCACAACGGGACATTGTGTACACACGCAGGGATTATCTTACACAGCTACTGAGAACGACATTTATGATTGTTTTTCACCACTCAACCCTGTGAGAGTATGTACTGAAGCTGGTTCTGATGGCAGAGTCGCTGGTGAAGCAGGTGTCGAGTTTGCAACTTGTGAAGATGCTGTGGCAGCTACGTCAAAAGACAAAGCAAATACGCAACACAGATATGTAGAACTCTTCTTGAATTCTACAGCAGAAGCAAGCGGTGGGGGCTTATGGTAGCCAAACGACGGGAGGCATGGGCTTGTCAAACCAGTCCAGTTACGGTGGCCTGGCCAGTCAGTGGCTGAGTGGTGGTTGTGGAGGTGGCCATGGTGGCCACAGAAACATGAGTGGATATGACCAAGTTTTACTGGAAAATTCCAGTGATTTCCAATCAAGCATTGCATAGGCAGCCAAGCAGCAGCGAATAGCAGCTACTACCGACGTGGAAGCTGTGCATCTCTGGGAGTGAACAAAATGGGAGGGATGTGTAGCATGTCCAGTATAAGTGATGGAGGGGGAAAGTAATTGATCCTGATCACTGACTCGTGGTCAACCTTTTTTCTTTTTGTTTTTAATGTTTATTTATTTTTGAGAGACAGAGAACGTGAGCAGTGGAGGGGCAGAGAGAGAGAGGGGGACAGAGGACCCGAAGCGGGCTCTTGGGCTGACAGCAGTGAGCCTGATGCAGGGCTTGAATCCACAAGCCATGAGATCATGACCTGAGCTGAAATCAGACGCTTAGCTGACTGAGCCACCCAGGCGCCCTGAGAGAGAGAGAATCTTAAGCAGGCTCCATGCTCAGCATGGAGCCCGAGGTAGGGTTCGATCCCACAACCCTAGGATCATGACCCAAGCCAAAATCAAGAGACGAACACTCAACCAACTGACTCATAGGCACCCCCAAGTTATTAGGTATTTTACATTCTTCTTTTTATGCTGTCTTTGAAGCTCAGTGTGTATTTAAAACTCACAGCACATCTCAATTAGGATGGGCCACATTTCACGTGCTGAACAGCCTCATGGGGCGAGCAGCTACCATATTGGAGACAACGAGGTTAACCTGCATAAACCAGAGGTGTGAGGACTTGTTCTACCTTCTTCCAGGCTTGAATGAAATCATCCTTGGGCTGAACTTTAAGATACTGAAATTGCTCAATGGTATCTTCAAGCTGACATTAATAAGTAGTTTTTTAAAAGTCAAAAGTCATGCACATGGTTAAAAATTGTAGGGGCCTGGGGTGCATGGCTGGCTCAGTCAGCAGAGCATGCAACTCTTGATCTAGGGGTTGTGACTTCAAGCTCCATGTTGGTCAAAGAGATTACTTAAAAAAAATTGTAGGGGCCAAAGGCAGGCCACCCCAAGATGGGCCACTCTGACATAAAGATTATTTTAAGTTAAAAGCAATCAAGACCCAGCAGATTCAGAAAAAGCTCTTTACCTACCCTACAACTACCTAAGTAGAACTGTGATAGAGGACCTGCTCCAGGAAGAGAGCTATCACCATAGATAACTATATCCTGATACGAACTATGGTAGACAGGGAGGAACTCAGCAAAGTCTGATCAAATTCCTCTCTGTGTCTCGCTGTTTCTGAGTGTAACAAATGTAAACATTTGTTAACCCAGCATTTTCTCTTTTCCATCTTCTTGAAGGTTACATTCCTTCCCTTTGCAGACCCAGACACCTACCCACTTCTCCTCAGTTCAGGATGACATATATACTTCATTGTGTCGGACTCCCCTTGGAATTGCCATGTCTATGCGGATTGCCCACATGTACGCTATTAAATTTGGTTTTCTTCTGTCTCATGCCAATTTGATTCTTAGTTCAGCCACAAGGATCTCGAAGGGAACAGGAATTCTTGTGCCCCAACAAAATCAAATTGTTCAAAAGAGCACACAATAAAAAGCAGGAGTCCTGTGCCCCACCTCTTCCTCTCCCAAATCCAGATTCTCCAAGGCAAGCGCTTTAACTCCTTCGTTCACGATTTCTTCTGCTGGTTTCTTCCACATCTCTAAACACCATCTCGCTTGACTCTTTCTTAACTTGCCCATTTCAGACACCTTCTATAAAAACACAAATCGACTTCCTCCTGTGACGGATGAGGCCAAAGCTCTCTGCTGCCCCATCCCCAGGCGGCAATCTCAATCGTTACTTCTATTGGCTACTTTCCTAACCTGAGACACTTTTGCGTCTTTTTTTTTTTTTTTTTTTGCCAACCACTACCAGTTATCTGCACTAAGAGTCTAGTCCACGCAGGGAAGGACTGACAGCAATGTGGAGCTGACAGACTAGGAGAAAGAAAAGAGAACTAAAGACAAAGGGACTATGGTTATAAGGGAGCTGACACATTGTCACCAGAGTGTAGGGTTGGCATTGGAGACTTCAAAGGGT